TTATCGATAGTCATACCTGGTATTCCTCAGTGAACATCGCAGGAGGGTCCTATGAAAGTAATGAAGAACGAGCTGGTTATATCATTATTATTAGCTAATAAATAAACTATGAAATAGCAATTGTATGGATTCGAAACTGATTATACACACATCTAAAATTGCCAGTCTAAATTTCAAGCTTAATTTGTATAAATATTCATTCATTCATCATGTGCTTGTGCCTTGTTTATAGTACAATTAAGATGCTGTTTCACTGTGCACTTCTTTTAAACTTTTTAACAAATTATCTCACAACAACGGGGCGGCACAAATTACTTAAGAATAACTCCACAGYGTAACAGGGACTGTCCCGCCTACAACCGTTTTTTTTTCCTTGTAGAGTTCAACGAAGTAGAACTCGAGTCTAATTTTCACATCGCAGTAAAGTGCAATGCTATTAGTATTGCACTGTGTATCAGACCTCCAGTAACTTTTCTTGCAATTTTGTGTTATGTACAATTTGAGGGTATGCGCAATTTCTCAGTTCGAATTTCCGCTATCTAGCTAACTTATTTAGGTCAAAAAGTAATGCAAGTTTCTTGGGAAAATTTTCAGTGTAAGATGATATAATTTTTCCAGTAATTCAGTTTTCTCAAAGGCATAGCGAGACACACGAGAAAGTTGCTTAAATACTGCACATCAAGTACTTACTGCATGCATTCCCGCAACGGTGTCAGCACCATACTCCGACTGTAAAACCGGTTTTTGGAACTTGTTAAACCAGTCTCTGAGCTCTTTTTCGAGTTGTGCACTGATGAGTTCTGTATGGCCATAGTCTTGGTACCATGCGTAGTATCGATTACATAAGATGACGTCACTAAACTGACTCTAGAAACGAAACGATACACTCCTAAAGGTTCGGTAATACGAGCAGCAACATTTTATTGTCAACCCGCAACCTCGTTCCCAGGCCCTTAAACCGTCACTTAGGATCAGGCAAACGAGGTTGCTTGTCCCGCAACATTGCTGCAAAACAAGTTGAAAAGCGATGCTGCGCGTTTTATTACCAACTTGTCTCCTAGTAAAATAACTTATTCGTTGCAAGTTGATTGAATTCTGATCTGATTGGCTAATACAGTCATGTGATTGTCGCTCAACGTCATTTTGCTACGAGAAAAGCTGACAGCCAGTAGTAAAACGCGTACCATCGCTTTCCACCTTGTTTTGCATGTTAGACAATCTTGTGGCACGGTATATGACCTTAATGGTTCGCATTAGCTTCAATGACGCATCGTCTCTTAATAAATGTATATCAAATGTATATCAGCCTAAAGTTTCTTGCTTACCACTTTGTCATTATACGCCTTAAGAGCCGTAACGAACGTCACAGGTCTTGATGGGTCAAGTTCACGGGTCAGTTTGAATATTGGTCTATAAACGCAAGAAAACCATCAGTCAGTATACGACCATATTTCTC